GAGAGTGGGGGCTCCCCGGGGCGGGGTCCCCGCCTTTGTGTCTGGGGCTCGCGCGGCGGCAGGCGTCGGGGATGGCGCGCGGGACGGAGCAGCTTAGCCCGGTGGCCGCGAGGATCCCACCACTACTCTCTTGTCTCTCGCCGGCCCCAACTGTCTGCAGAGGGCAGATGTGGGGACAGAGGAACAGGAGGAGGGTGGGGATCAGCGTGCAGAGGGAGGACAGAGCCGCGTTAGGAGAGGGGTGCACGGCAAGGGCCGGGGCTTGCTGCGGAGGGAGCGCGGTGGGAATGAATGACCGTGCCCGGCAGGGCGCTCTGGGTGCGCCCTGGAGGCAGCACCCTGTCCCACCTGCCTGGCCCGCTCCCCTGGGTCTCCGCTCGGGTGCTCGACCCGCCTCGGCGCTGAACTTGGAGGAGCTGAGGAGGAAGGCGCGAGCGGGAGACTCCGGATGGCTCGGGAGACCGAGGGTCCGCTATTGTTCCTTTTCTGGCTCCGGGAGCCCTTCGGCTTGCCCAAGGGTGCAGGCGAGGCACTCCGGGCCGGAGGTGGCCACCCGCTGCCCGCTCCCCGTCCTTGTCCTTTTCCCGCCTCAGCTCTGAGGAGGGTCGGGAGGAGGGATGCTCGAGTTCAGACAGTCTCGGGGCAGCTGGGGCTTCAGGAGGAGGGAGGTTGTGGAGCCGTGAGAGGGACGCCTGCCTCCGTCGACCCCGACCTCTGCCCAGGAGGGTGGGTACCCTTCCTAACCCCCCTTCCCTTCGCTGCCGGCGTGGGCAGGTTCGTGTCCGGGATTTAGCGTTTGCAGTTTGTAGGGTTCATCTGCCATCTCCTGGCTCACGCTCTCCCTTGCGTTTGGACCTCGCACCCCCCTTTTGTGGAGTGTGTGTGGGGTTGGGGGGAGGCTCAGACTACGGAGAGGTAGCAGACGGGTCAGATGAAGCCCCGCGTAAAATGAAACAGTTACCAGTGACCTCCCCGGGTCTGGGGTCTGTAAATCCAAGCTTGTGTTTCTTCGAGGGGCTCAGCTTAGCGCTACTTTATTTTCCAATGATGGCTGGGGTAGATCTGCGGACTCAAGGCCTCTCGCGGCTTCCCTTGGCCTCAGGTTCACAGGTGATATGGATGGACCTCCTTCATCCTGAGATGAAGGAATCATTGCCAGTTCTCTGGAGAGCGTGATCTCAAGACTGTAAGGGCTTGGCAGAGGGAAGAGCTGGTTTTGTCCACCAGGGCTCAGCGGAAGGTCTTAGCGAGGACACAGTCCCACCTGCTTGAGGTTTGAACAAAGTTTAGGAAGAGGGAGTGCATCACAGGGAAGCTGGATTTTGATGCCCGTGTCCGCAGCCTGCAGGGCCCTATTTGCAAGTGTGGCTGGGAGAGTTTTGTTACTGATGGGTGTAATCTGATCATCTTTTCTTAATGATGCCTAACCAGTGTCATATTTTTTTACTTGGGCTTGTAAGGTAGATTTTATGTGAGGAATTTATTCAGTTCTTATCATTTCTAACCGGTGCTTGCATAACATGAATTGGGAGAGGTGGTCTCATGGTGGGCTGTTGGGGATTTTTTCATTTCCATTCATCAAGATGCTTCAGTAATTAATTTATTGTATCATTTACAGTAGATTTATTTTATGGCTTTTGGGGGCTGGTTGGTGGTGGTTATAACTCTGTTGAATATTACTCTTACTTTTAGTAATTATCTGTGAAATTGAATAAAATTTCTTCTTAGTACTATTATTATTATCTGTGAAATTGAATACAAAGAATGGTTGCTCGGCCCTGGAGATTCCACGGGGGCATGGCATAGTGTCCCTGCCCATTAGCAGTCTACCTGACAATGAAATTCTGTGTCCAGACTGCCACTTCTCAAAGCATATTTGAGGCAGGTACACCTAGAATCTCCCACATTTTAAAGGGGAAGAAACTGAGGTTCGGTGGTTAAGGGCAACTGGGCTTTGGAGTTAATAGAAAGTGATGAAAGACTTTTGTCTCTCCTTTCCTTCCTTTCAAAATAAGTATGAAATATTTCAAATATACATAAAATGAGAATATAATAAGTCTTCCATTTTTCCACCATCTATGTTTGAGAATTGCTAATCTTTTCATATTTGCTTCGTATCCCCCCATAAAAATAAATTGCAACCGAAATATTTTATCCATCCCTCCTCCTCTGTCTCCGTCCTCAGGGACCTACTAATGTGAAGTTAGTATACAAAGTTTCCAGACAAGTTTTGGTTCTTTTGGATATTACCTATTCACGAATTAGGAGCCTTGCGTTTAACATTTTACATACATGGCATAATTCTGTATACACATGACTTGCATTTTTAAATTTATCATTATATTTTGAGGTACACGTAGGTCTTACATTAGCTGCTACAGAGAATTCCAGTGTATGACTAAATTATAGTATACTCATTCCCTCACCAAGAGAAAATTAGTGTGTCTAGTTTTTCACTATTATATGTTTTCTGCTGAGGACAGTTGATCTGTTTCTACTTTTTACTGTAATAAATAGTGCTACAATAAACATCTGAGACATGTTTCCTTGGGCACAAGTTTCTCTACAATTACTGCCTGAGTAGTGGGGTCTAGGTAATGCTACACTTATTATTTCTTCCATTCCTCAACAAATATTTAGGATGTACAAAGGGTTCTTTTGGTTATTTGTTGAATGAAAAATAAAATTAATCAATTTTTAGCTCTAAGAGTGTTGTTAGTTGACTGGATTCTTTTGTTGCTTTTTGTTTTTTATTTTTGTTTATTTATTTTTTAATAAGAAAAGCACATCTTAACTATAAAGTTGGAGCAGGAGACAAAACTGTGCTGCTGAGTTCCGGATACTTGTGCCGACGCCTTTTCTCGGCCAGTCACTGGCAGTGTCACCTTGGATGACTCACTTGGCCTTTTCTTCCTCCTTATTTTTTTCTTGGTGAGATTAAAGTGTTTGAGTAAGCATTTACAAAGGCATGTCCCTGCTCTAAGAGTTTGAAAATGTGGCCATGTTAATGACATTTTGCCCCTAATGGTAACCCCTTAATCTGGAAGCAATTTAAAGCATTTAAATACTTTGGCTTCTCATACTCCTTTAAATTTCCAGACACATTCCTGCCTCACAGCTATTGCATTTACTGTTCCCACTCAATGGAACACTCTTCCCAGATATACATATGGCTGTACCTTTTGACCCCTCAGGTCTTTATTAACACGTCACCTTCTCAGCAGACCTTCCCTGGCCAGCCCTTTCCAGTGCACTCTGCTCTTCTCTGCTTTATTTTTGTCCATGGCACTAATTACCTTCCAACTTGCCATATAGTTCCATTTATATTAGTAGGCTGTCTTTTTGTACTAGAATATATAAGCTCCATGAAGACAGGAGTTTTGTCTCTTTTGTTTACTGCCTAGACCAATGTTGAAATATAGGTCTTGAATGCTTGGGTAATGAATAAATGAACGAATGAATATAATACTTTTTGTTGTGGTTTTCGACTTAGAATTTCTTTTAGCACATATTAGATATTGTAAAAATGGTGCTGATTTTTCCACAGCTATAATTGAGTGCCCCAGGTATCGTATTTACAGGTTCTGTCATGATAAAAACCATAATGTCTTATAAAGAAAGCAAGCACTCTGCTTAAATTCACGTGATGTATCCTTCAGAACACTTTTCTTCAGATTTTTTTTTTCTGCCAACATATGTCTAAACCTGAATTCAAAGGAAAATATAAGTAACACGATGCTCGGAAGTACACCCACCATTCCTTTTCTTGATAACTTAGCTTTCCAACATTTTAAATAAGGAAGGCACAGAAAGGGATCCTGACTCTCCCTTCCAGACGGCATCTGTGCAGACCGGTGACGGTCTCAAGCAATGCCAACCACACTGGATTTCTAGGACTAGAAAGTGTGTTTCTCTGAATTGCTGCAGGGGAAATACTCATCATTGCTTTGACTTTGTGCATCCATCCGTAAGTATTTTTTTGTTTTTTTGTTGTTTTTTTTTTTGTGGTCGGGTGGGGGTGGTGGTGAAGATGGTGGAAATGATGACCTTAACCTGAAGAACCAGGAGCAACCAGTACATAGCAGGGTACCTGGAAATACACTAAGAATGGTCACATTGTAAAATCCTTAACTCATGGTACTAAAAACATTCAAGAATGTTACAGGGCTGGGTGTTCTTTTGCTGGAAGCCAACTGAATGTTCTCTACCTCGTATGATGAATATAGGAGTTGACAAAACAAAGCTAAATATATCGATGGCCTCTTGGGTATATTTGAAATGGGTGATAGGGAAAAGGAGTCTTGATTTTTTTTACTATTAATTATTTATATAGATGTATGATACTGATGGTATCCTTTAAAAAACTCTCTAGTGTACTCAAGTACAAACATTTTATTCTCTGTAATAAAATGATATTGAAAGAAATCAGTTTATTATGGATCCAGAAGGGGTTCGTTAACCTTCAAGCTGAAAACCATAAGCATGGAATTATATGATTATAATTGAAATATTGCATGATTCAAAGAAATTACTTCCCTTTGGTTTATCACTACCCATGAGCTGAAAAGTACAGGTGGTTTAATAAAAGTTAGAGAAAGAACATGAATCAATCAATTTCCCAAGTCTAGTCATCTACAATGAACAAAAAACTAGTCTAGTCTTTGATACCGGACTCACTTATGGGTATCGGTAAATTTAGTCAATATTTTAATAAGTAACTTTACTGACTTAACCATGTGTTATCAAATAAAACAGTCTTCTATTTGATTAAAGAACATATGTCTCATTTAATTTTATATTCTGGGTCCAGTAGAGCATCTGTCATATTAGGCGATTAAAATTTACTGAACTACACCCACGCACCCAGGGGGTCTATACAGTCCCTCATGGCAGTCGTCAGGTACTGAGCTGTCCTAGAATTTAAACAATAATCAAAAGGCAGAGGAGTGGAGGTAAT